CAGGCAGCAAAAACACCAAACTTGGGCCTTAGAAGAGGCTGTGATAGCATCAGCAGCAGCTTAAGGTAGTCACTATCCAGAAACAGTAAGGGGACTGGACAACTGGTCAGAAAGAGATTGCAGAGGACCCTGTGCTGAAGGTGGGTGCAGGACCAGGTGCTATTTGGCAACAGCATTGCCCATAGGCAGTTGCAGGGCAGAGAGGAGCACTAGCACTTGCAGCTGCAGAGGAGCAGGAGCACTTCCTGGGTAAAGAGCAGATCACAGGCCAGGAGAACAGTGACTATGCCTCTCCCAGATCATGCCACCTTGGAAGCACCAAAAACTTACAGACCCCCAGAACTGGCTCTGAAAACAACAGTGTGAAAAATGGCTCTGCACCCCAGGTGAGCAGAGGCCAACTTTAACACAAAGTTCAAAGTTAAGAAATATACTGGAAATGGGCAAACAAAAGAAAACTAACCTGACCATTAAAAAGCTACTATGATGACAAGGAAGATCAAGACACAAACTCAGAAAACAACATGAAAACAGCTACAAACAAAGCCTCAAAGAAAATAAAATGTAAATTGGACACAAGCTCCACAAGAATTCCTGGTAAAGCTAAATAAAAAGATGAGAGGTCAAAGAAAAATTGAGAAAAGAAATGAGCATGATGCAAGAAAATTATGAAAAGAATACCAATAGTTTGGTAAAAAGTTTGTTAAAAAAAGTAAAAAATACTAAAGAAAATAACACCTTAAAAAACAGAACTGGCCTGCAGTAAAAAAAAGGTACAAAAATTCACTGAATAAAAAGAACTCCTTAAAAAGTAGAATAGAAAAAAAAGTAGAAAGAACCAAATGGAAAAAGAGGTACATAAGCTCACTGAAGAAAATAATACTTTAAAAATTATAATTGAGGGGCAGCTAAGTGGCACAGTGATAGAGCACTGGACCTAGAGTCAGGAAGACCTGAGTTCAAATCCAGCCTCAGACACTTAACACTTACTAGCTGTGTGACCCTGGGCAAGTCACTTACATCCCAACTAAATCACCAAAAAATAAAAAAAAATTAAAATTGGACAAGTGGAAGCTAATGACTCCAAAAGACATCAAGATACAATAAAACAAAATCAAAAGAGTTTTTAAAAATTGAAGAAAATGTGAAATATCTCATTGGAAAAAGAGCTGAGAGGGAAAATAGATCAAGGAGAGTTAATTTAAGAATTATTGGACTAACAGAAATCCATGAACAGAAAAAAAAGCCTTTACCTCATACTTTTAAGAAAACTGCCCTGATATCTTGGATCCAGAGGGTAAAATAGAAATAGAAAGAATCCATTGATTATCTCCTGGAAGAATTCCCAAAATGAAAATTCTCAGGAATATTATAGCAAAAGTCAAGAGCTCCCAGTAAAGGAGAAAATACTTCAAGCAGCCAGAAAGAAACAGTTCAAATATCATGGAGCCACAATTGGAATCACACAAGATTTAGGTATTTCCACATTAAAGAATCATTGAGTTTAGAATATTATATTCCAGAAGGCAAAGGAGCTAAGATTGCAACCAAGAATAACCTACCCAGCAAAACTCAGTATAATCCTTCAGGGGAAAAATGAAATACAGGATTTTCAAGCATTCCCAATGAAAAGACCAGCTGAATAGAAAATTTGACATTCAAACACAAGACTCAATCAAAGCATAAAAAGGTAAACATGAAAGAGAAATAATAAGGGACTTAATAGAGTTAAACTGTTTACATTCCTATATGAGCAAATGGGAAATGTAACTCCCAAGAATCTTATCATTATTAGGACTGCTGGAAAGCATCTACATAGACAGGTCATAACTGTGAGCCAATTATTTTCGGATGATCTAAAAAAAATGGAGGGATGAGAAAGAGGGATGCATTGGAAAAAGGGGGGAAGAAGAGGAAAATTGAGGAAATTATCTTACATAAAGGAGGAGTGCAAGGAAAAGCTTTTACAGTGGAGGGGAAAATGGGGGGTGGCAGGTAATATTTGAACCTCACTAATCAGAATTGGTTCAAAGAAGGAAGAATATGTGTGTGTGTGTGTGTGTGTGTGTGTGTGTGTGTATACAACTCAACTGGATATAGAAATCTTATCTTACCTAACAGGGATGAAGGAGGGGAAGGGAATAAGATAAAGAGGGGATGTTAAAAGGGAGGGCAGATTAAGGGAAACAATGGTCAGAAGCAAAATAGACTTTTCAGAAGGGGTAGGGTAAAAAGAGAATGAAATGGATAAATGAAGAAAATAGGTTGGAGGGAAATGCACAGTTAGTAATCATAACTGTGAATGTGAATGAGATGAACTCCAATAAAATAGAAGTGAAAAGCAGAATAGATTAGAAACCAATATCCAACAATATGCTGTTTACAAGAAACACATTTGAAATAGAAAAACACACATAAGACTTAAAATAAGGGTCTGGAAGAGAATCTCATTTGCTTCAGGTGAGGTGAAAAAGGCAGGTGTAGCAATCATGATCTCAGACAAAGCAAAAGCAAAAATAAATTTAATTAAAAGAAATAAGCAGGGAAACTACATTTTGCTAAAAATAGATAATATTTAGATTATATATAGATAATAGATAATACAGTAATATAGATTTTTTAAAAAGTGTACTAAGTACAGAGATCACTTTCTCCTCTGGAGCCATCTGGGTCCAGTGACAAGATATAGATCAGAACAATTGTTGATGGCTCCCAAGCAATATTGTACCAGTGATCAACTGTGATAGACTAGCTACTCTGGTCAATACATGATCCAAGACAATTCCAAATGACTTTTGACAAAACTGCTATCCACTTCCAGAAATAACTGATAAACTCTGAGCACAAATTAAAGTATAATTTTTTCACTTTTTTGCAACATGACTAGTATGTTTTGCATGATTTTACATGTATAGTTGATATCATATTGCTTGCCTTCTCAATGGGGGAGGAAGGGTTGAGGGAGAGGGAGAGAATTTGTAACTCAAAATTTAAAATATATATATATGTGTATATATATATGTGTGTACATATATATATATATATATGTGTGTACATATATATATATATATATATATATACATATATATACATACATACATATATGACAAAAAGCCATCCCCTAAAAGGTAAATGGTGAAAGCATGTAAATAAACAGTTCTAAAAAAATTTGCAAGTCATATAAAAGAATTCTCTATCAGTAATAATAAGAGAAATACAAACCAAAACAAAAGAGCTTTAATTCCAACCCAGTAAATTGGTAAGAATGACAAAAAATGAGAATACTTAATTTTGGATGGTCTGTGGAAGAATTGGTACTCTAACGCATTATTGCTGGAACTTTAAATTAGTATAGCTATTCTGGAAAGCAATTTGGAGTTGTGCAAAGAAGTAGCTAAAATGTTCATACTTTTTGACCCATGAGATTCCACTGCTCATGAAATATCCACAGGGGATCAATGACAAAAAGAACGGTTCCTTATAGCCTAAAATATTTATAGCAGATTTTTGTGGTAATAAAAAACTGAAAGCAAAGTAGATATATACCCATTAATTGAGGAATGGCTAAATAAATTGTGGTACATTGTGTAATGGAATATTACCATGCTGTAAAAAATATGATGAATACAGAGAAGCTTAGAAAGACCTAAGTGAACTGATGCAAAGTGAAGTAAGCAAAACTAAGAAAATAATAAAGATACAGTGTACTACCACAATGTAAGTGAAAAGTAAAACAACAACAAAACAATCAAAACTGAATATTGTAGAACTGCAAGGAACAAGCTTGGTCCCAAAGAAGAGATGGGAAAAAACACCTCCTTTTTTTTGGCTAGGCAATGGTAAGTGACTTGCCCAGGGTCACACATCTAGTGAGTGTTATGTGTCTGAGGCTGGATTTGAACTCAGGCCCTCCTGATTCTAGGGCTGATGCTCTATCCACTCTGCCACCTAGCTGCCCCTAAGAAATATCTCCTTTGAAGAAGTAGGGAAGAGCGGGCTTAGAATACTGTATATGTCACACTTTTCTGATATGTTGATTAGATTTATGAAACCATGTTTTTTCTTTATTCATCTTTTGTTATTTATTATTGTGAGGGATGGCTCTCCAAGAGGAGGTGACAGAGATATGTTGGGAATTGTAGGCAAAAAACATGAAGTGCCAGAAGAAGGGTAGAAATTGCTTACCAGGGGGCATAAATCAGGATCACAAAAGTCTTCTCAAGAATGAGAAAGGTGGATGTGAGATGTTAGAATGAACTACATACACAATTAAGAAGCATAGGCTAAAAACCCAGAAAAAAAGTCAATATACTATATGAAGGCAAAAAAAATTATTTTTGAAAACCTGAGAGAGAGAGAGAGAGAGAGAGATGTACTTTAAAGTAGTATTTGTATGGCAGTTAAGCCTCCATTCCCAAAAGAAAATATTTAAAATATGTTCAAATAGTTAAGATAAGCCCAATATTATATTAGTGATATGCATAAATGAAGTTTCTTTGATAAAGCTTCATGCGCAATGAACTGTATTCTCAATGAAACATCAGCAACTAAAGTTAAAGATCTGTTCCTATACCCCAAACTAGTAAATAACAAATATTGACTGACATTTATATTGTGATTTATGGTTTTCAAAAACCTTTGGTATCCACTATATGATTTGAGCCTCAGAATAGACCTATAAGTTAGATAGCTGTTATTATTCCCATTTTACAGAATGATCTAAGAATAAAGAACTGGTTAGACATCTCTTCTCCATGAGGTCATAGCTTATTTCCCCCTGTTCCTCACCCAGTACAAGAGGGACTTCACAAATACGTGCTGACTTGGATTGAATTACATCTGAAGAATTAGAGTGACATGAGAACAAATATTTCCTGTGTTTTAGTAATGACCCATATATGACTGTTTCCTTAGAACCCAACTTCCCAGTTTAGTGTAAGGGCACCTTTAATAGAGTAGTATGGATCAGATTATTGAGAAAAGAGTGTATTGGCAGTTACCTTGAAGTTTTCTGCTTCTATACCAACTAGCCCAGCAACAGCAGAAAGTGGTAGTACGGGTCCATAGAAAGGATCCTTGAGCCCTTGGGAGAACAATCCTTCAAATTCCTTTATAAAAGTCCCATCCTCTGTAGGAAGATTTACTGGCCTAAAGACACAGAAAGAAACATGAAAATAATAAGGAATATCATTAACAGAAAATAAGCATTTGTGTAGCCCAATGTGGAAATATTTCTCATAAAAACAAGGTTTTTAAAAAAATTCCTTTGTCTTATTTCTATATGAATTGTAAAACTATACATTACAATTCTAAACTAGACATAGAAGAATTTTCAAGACCACAAAACAGGTTACGTAAATCAGAAGTTTACAAAATAAGGGTCCCAATCCCCCGAGAAGTTTTGTCACAACCTCAAGGGCGTCCTGGCATGGCCCCATTAACCCCAAATATATCCTCCCTCTCCCTGATCCCAGATCTGTACAAATTCCCCCCTTCTGTTCCTAGGGCAAAACAGTAGCTGTGCAGATGCCATTGGGAAAACCTGCCCACATTCATACAGTGCACCCACAAGCTGCTTCCCAGATCAGCCTATTGCTTTCCAGGCACCATTCATAGGGCAAGCCCTGTAGCAGTCACCCAGTGATCAAGGGACCTCTTCAACTGGCAAAGGTATGCATGGATTTTTATCTGCATTTAAGAATCTTATTATGGTATCTTTTCCCAAATAGTACCAATGTTATACTTCCACTACCTCCTGTAGTATTCCTCACATTCACGCACCCCACATAATCAAAGCGGTTGGCAAATCTAGTCACTTTTATCTCTGCAGCTTCTTTCCCATCTATCCTTTTCATTCTGCTCAAATAAAAATCACCCAAGCTTAAGTCCTCATCAGCTCTTACCTGGACTACTTCAACAGCCTCCTACTTGGTCTCCCTCAAGGCTTTCCCCTCCTCCAGTCCATCTTCTCTACATCTCCCAAAGTTCAGGTCTGACTGGCACTCCACCTGCTCAATAAACTCCTGTGGCTCCTGTTATCTCTATTAAATACAAACTCTTCTGGTTGGCATGTAAAGCCCTTCAAACCTACCTTTCCAGACTTATTATACCTTATTCCCCTTCCTGCACTCTACCTGCCAGTTAAACTAACCTTCTTGCTACTCCTCACACTCACATAAAAACACAAAAACATTTAGATGTGATTAAGAAATTAAGGTTTGATAGTATTGAGCCAAACCATGCAAAGAGAAAAATAGAAACATATCTGTAGACTGAAAAGCTGTTAGGCTTATTGACTTATCACATCCCTTATAACACTGGCAAATACCTTTGGTGAACATACATTTCCCTCTTTTATGATTTCCATAGAATTAATAAGCAGAAGGTTGTGGAACAGAGATCTCTATCAAGGACTCTTACATGATTTTAACATAAGTCCAGGAGACTCCTTATTAAAGAAAAGAGACTTCTGAGGCAAATGTTTAAAAAAATTTATTAACAACTTACATTAATGATCTTTAATTTTTAGGACTTTCTATCCAAATGCATGCATGTAAAAATGTAATTTGCCATAGAGAAACATTCATGAAAACCTACCCATTCTCTCTTCATATGTTCATCGGGTATTATCATCAATATGTGCGTAGATCATAAAGATAAGGAAGTAGACACATGGGTTGCCAGTTATTGATATTTTCTCAATTCCTTTTTTGGTTAGTATAACCATCTTTTTAAAAAAAAATTTTGGTTATTTTCCCCTCCTTGAGATATCATATAATCATATAAACTGAACCTTTGGTGCTTCCAAAATTCTGTTGCCTCCATAATGAACTTTCTAAAAATGTACTTGTTTAATCTAGGCAGTATTCCTAATTTCATTTTCTTCACTGCCTTTTCAGCTTCTTTATACAGATATCACTGACTAAAATGTTAGGGTCTAAATATATTTGTTTCTCTTTCAAGCACAATAAAAATGGATCATTGTAGACAAAGTGAAAAATTTCTTCCATTTTCTACCTATTCTTTTCCAGCCCATTTTGCCTATAAGTATTCTTAAGATGATATGGTTTAATTGGGTCTTGTGCCAAGCTTTCTGTAGACTTACTTTCACTTAGCCCTATTTTTGCCTTGAAAAAAAAATTAATATTACACTCAACCTTCTGTTGTCTGCCATCATGTTTGGTTTTTTTTTTTTTTTTAGATGAAGTTGTTTTATAAACTGGTGTGGTTCTTTGCTGCCATCTTTCTACATGTGACAAGGAGAGCAAGTGCTTGTTTGACTGTGGTAGTTTCTGGGCTTTTTTAGCCTTCTCATGATGATTGCTTTTATTGGTTAAGCTTTTGCAGAAAAAAAGTGATAATCAAGATCAATATTGTTGTTATTCATTTCTCATTTTCCTGTAATGGTTCATCTGAATTGGTCATGCTGAAGCTGCTGCTGTTATTTGCAATATCTTCTTAGCTTTAACCTTACTTCTAACTTTATGTTGATTTTTACTTTTGCTCTTTGATCTGACTGCACATACAGCAAATTATATTATACTCAAAACAATTATGAATAATTTCTCCCCACACCTCAGCAAAATGCAAGCTCTTTAAGGGCAGGTAGTATTTTTTTCCTTTTTATCCCTGGCACCCAACTCAGTGCCTGGCACATAGTAGCTACAGTAGCCAGCACATAAAAGCTTGTTGAATTGAATCAAATTGTTAAGAAATCATTTCACAGGGGTAGCCAGGTGGTGTAGTGGATAGAGCACTGGCCCTGGAGTCAGGAGGACCTGAGTTCAAATCTGGCATCAGACACATAACACTCACCACCTATGTGACTCTGGGTAAGTCACTTAACCCCAATTGCCTTACCAAAAAGAAAAAAGAAAAAAGAAATAATTTCACATTGATGATGTTCAGCTCTCACAATGTCCATGGACTTATATTTCTCTTTCTGAAGTTAGCATTCATGATATTGTAGGGAAGGCAGGAAAACAGAATAAAAAAGGAAGTGAAACAAAAGTCACTAACCCCTTTCAATTTTTTCCATTCAACCCTTTCATTTTCAGAGACCACAGAATGGTATCCTGTGATGGAGGTTAAAGAGGTTTTTTCAGGGTAAGTCAAATAATTATTTGGACTAAAAGAACCCAAATGGTAGGATTTTAAATGGAATAGACCAGGTAGGGAAGAATTAGAGATCATTGACCACTATGCAAAAAAAAGAAATCTAGTTGGTAAGAATTGATGGGAAAAAGTGGAAAGCAGTCTGACTTCCAGAAATTAGGTTTAGACCAGCATCTTCTACCATATCCTACAACAAACTCAAAATGCCAATGTGGCCTGAATAGTAACAATCATATCACAAAAGAATTAGAAAAGAACCACACTGGGCACCTTTAACAGCAATGGGTAGACAAATTCTTAACTTTCTAATAAAGGTTAGAGACAATCACAAAAACAGACAATCTTTATTACATTAAATTTTAAAGTTTTGCAAGAATAGTATTAGTGCCACTAGAATGGAAAGGCATGTGATCAGCTGGAAAAAATATTTGTATCAAATATCTCTGATAAAAGTCTGATATCCAAAACTTATAGGCATCTACTATGTATCTATATCTAGATAGACAGGTCCAAAAAGATTTCTCTCAATAAGTAGTTAAATGAAATGAATAAGCAGTTCTCAAAAGAAGAATTCCAAACTATTAAATGTCATATGAAAGAATGTCTCAAATCACTAATAACAAAAGAAATATACCTAAAAATGGGCAGCTAGGTGGTGCAGTGGATAGTGCCATACCTACAGCCAGGAAGACTCTTCTTCCTGAGTTCAAATCTGGCCTGAGACACTTACTAGCTGTGTGACCCTGGGTGAGTCACTTAATCCTGTTTGCTTCAGTTTCCTCATCTGTAAAATGAGCTGGCGAAGGAAATGGCAACTGCTCCAGTATCTTTGCCAAGAAAACCCCAAATGGGGTCATGAGGAGTCAGACAAGACCGAAAAACTGAAGAAACATACATGAAAACAAGCTCAAGATTCAAACTCAGATACTCCAAGTTGGTAGATGACAAAATATGGGAATAATCAAGGCTGAAGGAGGCTGTGGAAAGAGAGACACATTGCTGCATCTTGCTAGAATTATGAATTGGCCAAACATGATGAAAAGCAATCTGGAATTTCCATTTAAAAGTAACTATAGTCCAAAAGTGATTAAAATGACCCAGAGATCTGCTACAAGTTTATATCCCAAGAATGTCAAAGATAGAAACTTTTATGCCAAAATATACATCAGAGAACATTTTGGGAGAAATTTCTTTATATAAAGAAATTGAAAAAAAAATTGTGCCCATTGATTGAGGAGTAGCCAAAATACCTATGGTATATGAGTGCAGATGAAAATTGCCACATAGTAAGAGAGAAATGGATATGAAGAATTCAGAGAAACATGAGAAAACTTATATGAACTGAACACTATATAGCTGTAATGACCAATCTTGGTCTCAGAGAAGAGTTGAGAAAATGTACTGCAGTGCCTTTCCCTGAATAGGGGGAGGATCTATGAAGGAAGTAGAACAGTACATATACTGACAAACTCAGTTGATGTGTTGGTTTTGCTAAATAGATTTTTTATGTTTTAATCTTCGTTAAAGGGGATGGCTTATGGGTAGGGGAAGGTGAAAGAACATATTTGGAAATTAATGTGATGTTAAAGCGAAGCATCTGTAAAAATAAGATAAGCATTCCATTAAAAGAATGGCTCTTTGTAAAATCACATGACTCTGTGGGGGCAGAACATAAAACACTTCTATATTATTGTGGAAAACTACGATTTTTTTTATGGCTAGGTTCTTCAAGAGTGTTTGAGATAAAAAGAAAAACTTTTGGGTCACCTTCCCTTCATATTCTCCACATACTCCACAACCCCCATTTTAGGAAGAGCTAACATTTATATAATACTTCAAGGTTTGCAAAGTGTTTTATACAATTTGATTTACTCTTGTGCCTGCTGTGTGCTAGGCACTGTGCTAAGTACTAAGGATCCAAAAAAACCAAAACACAGTCTCTGCCCTCAAGGAGCTCACACTCTAAGAGGGAAGACGACAAATAGACAAATACGTACAAACAAGCGATATAAAAGACAGGAAATAAACAGAGA